TTTTTAGTAGAGATGGAGTTTTCACCATGTTGACCAGGATGGTCTTGATCTCTTGACCTCATGATCCACCCGCCTCCGAAAGTGCTGGGATTATAGGCGTGAGCCACCGCGCCCAGCCCAGAAGTGACCTTTTTTTTGAGACAAGGTCTTACTTTGTTACCCAGGCTGGAGCACAGTGGCAAGATTGTAGTTCACTGCAGCCTCAACCTTCTGGGCTCAAGTGATCCTCTTGCCTCAGCCTCCCAAGTAGCTGGGAGCATAGGCGTGTGCCACTATGCCTGGTTAATTTTTTTTTTTAAGACAGATTGAGCCTTTTGTTGCCCAGGCTGGAGTGCAAGCACAATCTCTACTCACTGCAACCTTCGCCTCCAGGATTCAGGCAATTCTCCTGCCTCAGCCTCCCAAGTAGCTGGGATTACAGGCACCTGCCACCATGCCGAGCTAATTTTTGTATTTTAGTAGAGACATGGTTTTGCCATGTTGGCCAGGCTAGTCTTGAACTCCTGACCTCAAATGATCCACCCACCTCAGCCTCCCAAAGTCCTGAGATTACAGGCATGAGCCACTATGCCTGGCCACGCCTGGTTAATTTTTTATTGTTTGTAGAGACAAGAGTCTCACTATGTTGCCTAGGCTGCCCTCAAACTCCTAGGTTCAAGCAATCCTCAACTTCCCAACGTGCTGTCATTACACGTGTGAGCCACCACACCTGGCCAAAAGAAGTGACTTTAAAGCAGAGTCTTGAAGACATAGCAGGATTTCAGGAAAAAGAAATAGCAAATGTAAATAATTGAAGTATATAATTGATTGGCTGGTGTTTAGTGGACCCGCACATACTTCATTGTTGCTGGAACCTAAAGTTCCAAGCAGGAAGTGGAAGGTCATGAGGCAAGAGAGAGAGACAGAGGCCAGTTTATAAATGGCCATAGAGGATGTACTTCTAAGGAGTTTGATGTTTATCCTACAGGCCATAGAAAACCAATGAAGGACGTTAGGAGCAAGGTAATGTGCCCTTACTTGCATTTTGAAAGGTTTATTCTTTCTCAGGCTACAGCAGCATTGATGCAAATGAGGGGACAGCTTTGAGAGTTATTAGGACACGCCTGGACTTCTTTTAACAAAAGTAAAATGACAGGGTCATCATTCTTTATATAAATTATTGATTTCAAAAATATCTATTGGCCAGGTGCAGTGGCTCATGCCTGTAACCCCAGCACTTTGGGAGGCCAAGGCAGACAGATCACTTGAGCTCAGGAGTTTGAGATCAACCTGGGCAACACAGGGAGACCCCATCTCCACAAAAAAAAATACAAAAATTAGCCAGACATGGGGGTACGTGGTTATAGTCCCAGCTACTTGGGAGGCTGAGATGGGAGGACTGGCAGATTTGAGAGGCCAAGACTGTAGTGAGCCATGATTGAGCCACTGCACTCCACCTGGGTGACAGAGTGAGACGGACAGAGGGGAAGGGGAGGGAAAGGGAGGGGAGGGGAGAAAGAAAGAGAGAGAGAAAGAGAAGGAAGGAAGGAAGGGAGGGAGGAAGGGAGGGAGGGAGGGAGGGAGGGAGGAAAGAAAAGAAAGAAAATATTGTAAACATTCCCTCCACACTTGTAAATCATAGAACATGATTTAGAACTTTCATATCGCACTTCGAGTATCTTTAATGTTTTTGTTTTCAACCCACAACACAGCCAGTTGAGAAAATCTATTAGATTTTCATCTTCAAAAACTTAATCCTTAATAAGGAAGTTGTGTGTTTTTTTAGCCTCAATAATGCACTGGTAAATGCTGAACAACCAGCTCTTCCAGAGAAGGAAATCCTGATTTGTAGTGTTTGCCAATTTCTATAGTGTAAATACTCCTGTAATGGCTGTTTTCAAGCTACTAATGTGACATCACTGAGCAGGAGTTGAGAAGACATGCAGTATTACATTATTAGATAGAATTTCCATGGTACGGACACAATAGATATGAACAACTCAAGGGCACAGAGAGTAACATGCAGTAAAATAATTAGAAAATGGTGAGTTCTAAGTACATATTACCTTTGTTTTTAATATAATATACTTGATTATAAGTCTACATAATTTAATTTTTAATAATAATTGTATTTAATAACCACCAAAATTCTTAAAAGTAGTCAGTACTTGGGAGTCAATACAAGCTTATTCCAGGCACTATTGCATATACCCCTCTTTACTAAATAATTAAAATGATATTTATTAATCCAATCTTCACTGTTTAATTCTCAGACATAAAGTAGGAAAATCTGGAAGTAAAGCATTGGAGAAAATGCAATACTACTTGAGGAGTGGTATGATGTATAAAAATAAATAAGCCTAGTAAGAGTTTTTAAATCTATATTTTATACACTTTTCATTATGTGAGTATATTGAAATAAAAGATAATCAGTTTCATTTTTAGTATTGATCAAAATTATAAAACAGATTTTAACTAGCTAGCTCATAAATAGAAAATTATGTAAGTAAAACTGGAATTATTTTAGGTCTGCATAAACTATGACTGCATGAGTGCTAGAGTGCAATATTATCTATCAAATGCCTTCAAAATGTACTTTCTGTTAAAACATCTCTGAAAGGTAGAGAGAAAAGCAACAAGCAACTTTAGATGAATTGTCCAAAAGAGCTTATATAACGTCCCACCAAGAAACAATGGCAGATCCCCATTAGGGCACAGAAGGTAATTGGAAGTATGTGGGTTCACATCTGGGCAGACACATCCCAAACCACAAATGTCTGAGCTACAGCCAGTGAGAACACACTGACTTATAATGTAGTTTGCCCCTCCTCCACCACCACAGGAAAGAAAGTACTGCTAAAGATCCCACTCAGACTTCTCAATTCTCCAGAATTGATGCCATGTGAGGGTGGGAACCAGACAGATCTGGGTGAGATCCTGGTTTTGCCTCATACCAGTTGCTTATTTTGGGGGGGCCAGTCACTTAAGTTATTTGAACCTCAGTTTCCCAAAATATAAATAGGAGAAAAGAATATCTTGTCAAGTGCTATTGAAGACATATATTATGTGAAGACATACTTATGTGAAGTACTCTTCACATAACAAGTGGTAGACAGATGTTATGAAAATACAACCACACAACACCCACAAAACCACCTTGGGATGTATGAAAGATGATTTTCCCTTCTTCGGGCCTACCCAGGCATCATTAGCTATTTTGAAGATAGAAAAAAAAAAAAAAAAAAAAAAAAAAAAAATGGTTCTAGGCTGTTAGATGAGCTCTTCTGGTTTTATTCTTAATATGACTCAAATTAGAGGATCTTGTCTTTATCTCTTTCTTTCCTTCCTCCTCTTATTCAACAAATGGTTTCTACTGTGCTGAGCTCTGAGCACACAATGTTCAGGAAGAATAGTAACAGTCATTAGAAGTGGTAACAACAATAGCTAACTTTTATTAAGCATGGATTGTTGAATAAAAGACATCCATGTCTGCCTTTACCTAACTGACAGTCTGGTATAGGGAAACAGATATATACATAATCGCTCAGGGCCAGAAATTTCACATGTAACATATTTCACTATTTTTCTCACTTTTTTAATACAGGACACTAAGACTGTATGAAACCTAAACACTGATAAACCAATTTGGAAACAAAGCTTAATACTAAGAGATTAAATTAAAACACCAATTTTCTTTACTTTCTACTGGATAATTTTCTTAAATGCTTTTGAGGGGGAAAATTAAAAACCTATCCTGAATAAACAAGAGATTGCTGAAAATATGTAGTTAGAGAAAGGGCGTAAGAATATTACAGGTAAGTGATTCAGAAATAATTAGGATATAACTAATTAAAAGTTAATAATACAACTGCAGGGTAGGGTTTAGGCTCTTTAATCTATGAAACGATTTGGATTCCTTGAAATCAGCTGTCACCTAAGATAGGCAACCGATGTTTTCTTTTTAAACTTTACATTTGTTCCTAATCTTCCCACTTTCCACCAAGGGACAACAAATTTTGGCCCTTAGTGACTGATTCCCAGCCTGGGATCTACAAATGTGATAATGGAAGTCTATGGGCCATTTAGTAGTTGAAAAACACCAACAGGTTTAAATTTACCTGCAATAAGGCTACACAAACTAATTAAAATGTTATGTTTCTTTGCTTTCATCAGAAATTGCATCAAGTTATTACAGGAACTAGTTATGTTAGGCAGATTAGCTATTGATGACATCATGGAATTTGTTGGTGAAATATCGTTTTAAAAGATGGGGTCCATGTTGTGGGAGGCATTGTAATAAGAGGTCTCTGGTTTTGAAAAGCACAGGCTCTCAAGGCTTAGTTAAGAAATGTGTTGGTGACTCATGCCTATAGTCTCAGCACTTGGGGAGGCTGAGGTAGGAGGATTGCTTGACTAGGAGTTTGAGCCTGGGCAATACAGTGAGAGACCTCATCTCAAAAAAAAAAAGTGTGTTATGTTTAAAATAAAAAGAACTTGGCTAGCTAATCCAGCCTTATTTTGCAGGAATAATTTATGAAAAAAATGCAAATTTCCATATTAGTGTACATTTCTCTGGAGAGAACAGAGTGTTTTGCAAACACATTTGTGTGTCAAAAATGCATGTAGTTCCACAAAAGACCATTTAACAGCCTTTATATTTTTTAAGGGTTGCTATCACTAGATGTTATATCTTGGACTTCTGGAGATCACGTGGAAAAGTTAGAATTGCATTTTGACTTTAACTTTCATTCAGGGTTTCAATGGACATTAAAAAGGCAAAGCACTTGGTGTTCAGCCTCTTTTTGGTGTGTTTTTCTATTCTTAAGGTGTGTCTCACATGAGATGTTCTTAAATTGTCCACTGTAATCTCAGGCTTTTATATTACACATCTGAGGAAGTCAAAAATAATTCGGTGCATGACTTTTCCACCTAGAGTTTCTTATTATATTTACTAGTAAACTATTTTGGTAACTTATATTAACAAAGTTACAGAGATTAATATGTAATATGTTTTCATGCAGAATTATGAAATTTCATGTTGCAAAACGGAAGTTTAAGGAAACATTACGTCCATATGATGTAAAAGATGTCATTGAACAATATTCTGCTGGTCATCTGGACATGTTGTGTAGAATTAAAAGCCTTCAAACACGGTAAGCAATGGAAATGTCGTTCCTTGTAAAGGAATGGGCACAGAAACTAGGAAGAACTTCTCTTCAGTAGAGTAAACCTCTGAAGTCCACCTTTTAAATTCATTTTTAGTGGGCAAATAGAATTTCCTTTTAACATTGATTTTATTTTGCTTTTAACATAGATATAACTCAGGCATTAAGAAGCATCCAACCGTTTCATTGTCTTCAACTGTAAAAATGGGAAGAAAGTTCTTGCCTTATAGGGTCGTCATGAGGATTGAATAAGTTAATGCATGTAAATCATAACATATAACAGGCCTGGAACTGTGTCTAATAAACATTAATAGTTGTTGCTAATATTTGAATTATTACTGCTGCTGCTGTTGTTGCTACATTATCTAAATTCCATTTATTACCTAAATTCTAATCATCCTTTGGAAATAACATATTTCTCCTTCATTAAGCTTCATCCAATAATCTAGCCCATGAAGACAGGCCTTTCTCTGACCTTTATACAGTAGTAGAGTCTACTGCAGAGCACTAGAGCACTCAGAATCTTCGTGTGCTGGGCCAAAGTTGAGACCTGGCCCTTGTGTTGTTTCCTAGTTGCAATTGTGTTCACCTTGCTCTGGACCAAGACTGAGCTCTTTCCTTCATTCATGTCCTGTACGGTTCTAGATGTATACTATCCTTCTAGTAGCATCTTACTGAGTGGTTCAAAGAAATGAGTTCTATGTGGTAATTCCAACCACATGTGGTTAACTGTGATATCTCAAAGCCAAAATATTTAGTCAATTCAGTTTTTTTAAGACTCTTGCTTTACTGTCAGCACAAATTACCAGCATTTGTGATTGTATAGTGCCTAAAATGCAAAGACTGAGTCTTGAACCTTTTTCATATGCCCACAGCATGCCTAGCCCAGTGTGAGGCATATGATGGGCCCTTAGTAAAATAGCTATTCATTAATTGTTATAGAAATAACAATTTGTTAATTCATTCAGCAGATAATTATTGAGCCCATCATGTGTGCCAGAACCTGTGGACATCCAGAGATTGATAAAATAATGACCCAGACCTGGTAGAGTTTTCAGTTTAGTAGATTAGATGCCATGGCGGGAAGTGAGTACTGCCTATGTTTCTGTGCAGAAAAAGTAAGCTGGAAAGTTGAGTCAAGACTCTTGATAATTCAATTCTAAACACATACAAGAAAAGAAGAAAGTGATTCTCATTTAGGTTGATCAAGTCTTCTTGGAAATTTTTTTAATTCATTATGTAACATCTGTAACATGACCAGAGATTGTGGTCATGTTACAATCTCTGCCTAGATGGCCGTGACCTTCTAAGTTCTTTAATAAAACTGTCTATGGCTCCCAAGTTTTATAAAGTTGAACTGCTACAGAATTTATACAACCAATCTTGAGTTTCTAGCTCATGTATCTTCCCCAGCTTGAATTTCAAAAGAAAAAGACCATAGCTTTCCTATCTGCTTATCTTTCACATATGTACAATAAGTGCTCATAGAATAATCTGTTCTATTAATGCAAAATAACTATAGTTATGATTTTTGTCGTATTTTGAAATGGTTAAATTTAGGAACTGCCTGATCAGAGGTAGAAACCATTACTTTGTAGTTTACTAAAGTTTTATTTCCAGAAGACCACCCATAAGTGATTTCATCTGGGACCAGAATAATGAGAAAATTAATCTCATATGTAATCTCAGGTTAACAAAATAAGCATATTAACTGGAACAAGTTTATTCTTATTTCATCTCACATAAATTGAATAACTGTATTTACTATATTTTTCTGAAACTCTTCATTCTGTCCTAAGCCCTCATAACCAGATCTCCTCTTTCTCTGACAGTGTTGATCAAATTCTTGGAAAAGGGCAAATCACATCAGATAAGAAGAGCCGAGAGAAAATAACAGCAGAACATGAGACCACAGATGATCTCAGTATGCTCGGTCGGGTGGTCAAGGTTGAAAAACAGGTACAACTCAACAACTCTGGGTAACTTTTTAGCCAGAAATTTTAAATCAAAATTCATTATAGGCAATTGGATGTATTGCAGTGATTATTTTAAAATAAATAAAATCAAGAAAAGAGTGAAGGAAATTAAATTTTCTTTGTGTGTAGACAGTATTCTCTGAAACACTTTTTTTTTCCCATATAAGAAATAGAAAATTTTATCTTATCAATTAATAGTTAATTGGAAACAGCTATAGATTTCCAATAGTTGAAAATGATTTAAAAATAACAAAGATCTATTCCTCATTTGTGTTTTGGTTGTTGTTTCGTTTTGTTTTTTTCTTTTTGAGACAGAGTCTCACTCTGTTGCCCTAGGCTGGGGTGCAGTGACGTGCTCCGGCTCACTGCACCCTCCGCCGCCCAACTTCAAGTGTTCTTGTGCCTCAGCCTCTCCAGTAGCTGGGGTTACAGGCATGTGCCACCACACCCAGCTAACTTTTGTATTTTTAGTATAGATGGGTTTCACCAGGCTTTTAGTATAGACGGGTTTCACCATTGGCCAGGCTGGTCTCGAACTCCTGACCTCAAGTGATCTGCCCACCTCGGCCTCCCAAAGTGCTGAGATTACAGGTGTGAGCCACTGCACTCGGCAGGCCACTTTTTTAAAAAATAAAACAAAACCGTATTATAATTCTGGTGACACATTGAATGTTTGTTAACCTTGAGTCTTTTGTATCTTCACATACAAAGACAATTTTCCAGAAATCAAATTGTTCCCCCAATTTACTCTTTTTTTTTTTTTTTTTTTCTTTTTTTTTTTTTTTTTTAGACGGAGTTTCGCTCTTGTTACCCAGGCTGGAGTGCAATGGCGCGATCTCGGCTCACCGCAACCTCCGCCTCCCGGGTTCAGGCAATTCTCCTGCCCCAGCCTCCTGAGTCGCTGGGATTACAGGCACACGCCACCATGCCCAGCTAATTTTTTGTATTTTTAGTAGAGACAGGGTTTCACCATGTTGACCAGGATGGTCTCGATCTCTTGACCTCGTGATCCACCCGCCTCGGCCTCCCACAGTGCTGGGATTACAGGCTTGAGCCACCGCGCCCGGCGTTCCCCCAATTTAATCAAAAATACTTCACATATTAATTCTGGAGCATTTTGTACCATTATTTTTTAAATGTACCTATATTTTTAAATTCAGAATTACCTATATTGATACTTAAGGTCTTGATTTCATTATAGAGTAAGTTCCTTACTAGATTTCTGCAGAGTTTCAGAATGTCTTTATAGAGGAGACTTAGGAAAGAGAATCTGAAGAGAAGGGGAAGTCTTTTTTTTTTTTTTTTTTTTTTCCCAGACAGGGACTTCTCTGTCACCCAGGCTGGAGTGCAGCGACACAATCATGGCTCACTGCAGCCTCTACCTCCTGGGTTTAGTCAATCCTCCTAACTCAGCCTTCCTAAGAGCCGGGACTACAGGCACGCACCACCACAGCCAGCTAACTTTTGTATTATTTTTGGTAGACACTGTGTCTCACCATGTTGCCCAGGCTGGTCTCAAACTCCTGGGCTCAAGTGATTCTCCTGCCTCAGCCTCCCAAAGTGCTGGGATTACCGGTGTGAGCCACTGTGCCTAGCCTGGAATGAAAACTCTTTTGTTTTTTTTGAGACAGAGTTTTTCTGTTTTTGCCCAGGTTGAAGTGCAATGGTGCTATCTCAGCTCATCAAAATCTCCACCTCCCAGGTTCAAGCAATTCTCCTACCTCAGCCTCCCAAGTAGCTGGGATTACAGGCATGGGCCACCACTCTGGGCTAATTTTTTGTATTTTTTAGTAGAGACAGGGTATCTCTGTGTTGGTCAGGCTGCTCTCAAAACTCCCAGCCTCAGGTGATCCGCCTGCCTCAGCCTCCCAAAGTGCTGGGATTGTGGGTGTGAGCCATCATGCCCGGCCGGAAACTCTTAAAGTTGCATTTTTATAGTGCTTATGTGACTTTCGAGAAGCACTATTTAAAGAAGTGGGAGGGAGAGATGCTAATGAAGACCAAATAGAAGCCGAAGTGTCCCTCCTCTGGCCCCATCACTGCTAAATGCTACATTCACTAAGGGTCCAGACTGCATTGCACTTTATATTCAATATTTCTTTAAAGGTGTTGGCACACCTTGACTTCATTTGTTAATTCTAGAAATGAAGTCCATTCTTAATAACAGATTATACTCCTATGTAACCATTTTCCTCACTTCTAGGTACAGTCCATAGAGTCCAAGCTGGACTGCCTACTAGACATCTATCAACAGGTCCTTCGGAAAGGCTCTGCCTCAGCCCTCGCTTTGGCTTCATTCCAGATCCCACCTTTTGAATGTGAACAGACATCTGACTATCAAAGCCCCGTGGATAGCAAAGATCTGTCAGGTTCTGGACAAAACAGTGGCTGCTTATCCAGATCAACCAGTGCCAACATCTCAAGAGGGCTGCAGTTCATTCTGACGCCAAATGAGTTCAGTGCCCAGACTTTCTACGCGCTTAGTCCTACTATGCACAGTCAAGCAACACAGGTGCCAATGAGTCAAAGTGATGGCTCAGCAGTGGCAGCCACCAACACCATTGCAAACCAAATAAACACGGCACCCAAGCCAGCAGCCCCAACAACTTTACAGATCCCACCTCCTCTCCCAGCCATCAAGCATCTTCCCAGGCCAGAAACTCTGCACCCAAACCCTGCAGGCTTACAGGAAAGCATTTCTGACGTCACCACCTGCCTTGTTGCCTCCAAGGAAAATGTTCAGGTTGCACAGTCAAATCTGACCAAGGACCGTTCTATGAGGAAAAGCTTTGACATGGGAGGAGAAACTCTGTTGTCTGTCTGCCCTATGGTGCCGAAGGACTTGGGCAAATCTTTGTCTGTGCAAAACCTGATCAGGTCGACTGAGGAACTGAATATACAACTTTCAGGGAGCGAGTCAAGTGGCTCCAGAGGCAGCCAAGATTTTTACCCCAAATGGAGGGAATCCAAATTGTTTATAACTGATGAAGAGGCGGGTCCCGAAGAGACAGAGACAGACACTTTTGATGCCGCACCGCAGCCTGCCAGGGAAGCTGCCTTTGCATCAGACTCCCTAAGGACTGGAAGGTCACGATCATCTCAGAGCATTTGTAAGGCAGGAGAAAGTACAGATGCCCTCAGCTTGCCTCATGTCAAACTGAAATAAGTTCATTTTCTTTCCAGGCATAGCAGTTCCTTTAGCCATACATATCATTGCATGAACTATTTCGAAAGCCCTTCTAAAAAGTTGAAATTGCAAGAATCAGGAAGAACATGAAAGGCAGTTTATAAGCCCGTTATCTTTTAATTGCATGAAAATGCATGTTTAGGGATGGCTAAAATTCCAAGGCGCATCGACATTAACCCACTCATTTAGTGATGTACCTTGAGTTAAAAAGCCTGAGAAACCAAACACAGCTAACGCTATGGGGTGTATGAATATGTCAAGTTTAGGCCATTTAGAAGATTTGACACTGTATTTTGAAATTATGGGAGTAAACACCTACAAATTTCAGGCATTTCTGCTTTGTGAGTAAATACAAACTGCATTTTCAAGATTAGGCCATAATGTATATTTAAACACAATGGTTATCAACCGCTGCTAATAAGGTATCAACTAAAGCAGAATTGGGGAATAATAGAAATGGATGCTTATGTCAAGATATATTTGCCAACTCATTCCTACTCAGTCATTTTATTATTAATGTAATTTGGATGTCAATTTGTGTGCTTTTGGTGATTTAGCACTGTGGCAAGCAATTTTGCACATCATTTTCATGTTGTTCTTTATGACAAGAATGTTCTTCAATTAGAAAATGTGCAAATAATGAAATTCAGGGCCAGTGGGGCAAATAGACTATGTGACATATTTGACTTTAGGAAAACATATTCCCTGATGGCAGAATCAACTTTATGAGTGGTCAACTTCTACACAAGCATATGAAATACTGATCAGTAGAACAAATATTGTGATTGGGCTGGTTTCTCTGCAGTGGCGCCAACCCCAGGCTTGGCGATACTGCCCACATAAAGGGCAAGTGTGAGAAGCTATTCTCATTTTGCTGACATATAGGTAGGACCCTGGGGGATGGGACATTTGAGTGGGACTGAGATAGGAAAGGCTTGAAAATAATCCAGAAACAACACCAGGAAGTTGGCAAAGTAAAAGAAAATGACATCCCCATCAAAGGGCAATGAGCAGGAGAGAAACAAACCAAAATAGAAGAACTAGATTTTTTTTTTAATGAGTATTCTTAGGGAATTCAACTACCTAATCTTCCCTTATTCTTATATATAAGCAGAGAACTTTTGCAAGGTATTTATTTTTGAATATGCCCTGAATGTCTTTTGCTATTATGTGTACATTTTGCATATGAAAGTCTAAAACGAAACTTCCTTTTTCTACTGTTGTGAAAATTTTCTATTCTTCCCAAGAATGTCGTCCCAAATCTGAAATTACTGGTTCAGTTTCCTGATGTGAACATTTACCATTAGAAGCTAGATAGTACTGGCAGGGTCTGCAAATCAGAACACTTAAGTATATCATGGCAGCAAAAAGACCAAGGGAAACAAAGTGACAAAAGTATTTATCAGAAAGCAAGCAATGCTACTGACTGCTTGTTAGAAACCCATCTAGTTATCTCAGGCCGTCAGAACTTCAGCCAAAGTAATGACATTCAAAAGAAAAGGACATACGAGATAGCATTTCAATTCAATTAAACCCTAGCCACAGGAGGACTCAAGAAAGGAAGTTTTTTCCTTGGCGGACATTAATAGTGCTCCAGAAATACTTCTCCAGCAGCCAGGCAGAGTGAGCAGGGTTATCCAGTGGATGTTCAAAGTAAGGAGGAGGCCCTGAACTCCACCAGACCTCCCAGCCCTCCCCAACAGGCTTTCTCCATCACTGACTCTCCCCTACTTTTCTTCTTCATTAACTCCTTATTCATTCCCTGCCAGTATTTTCCTTCTGAATTTCACGTCTTAACCAGCCTCCATCCCCAAGGAAACCAGTTCTCAGCTTTACCTAAAATGTGCTTCTCAACCTTTTAGAACTTTGTCCCTTTTGATAAACATGGACATTTTTAAACCTCCATCTTCCCATCCCACTTGGATTCTAACACAGTCGGAATCATTTAGAATCTTTTTGGCTGCTGGAGACACGTAGAAGATAGAGGCTAAATTTTACACCCCAGTTAAGACTTTGTCAATCCTTTAAAGCAAGTGTTTTCATTTTAAAAATATAGAATGTTAGTAAATTATGAAATTCAAGTTTTCATCTTCACTGAACTGAAGTTGTAATTCCCCCTCCCAAGAATACTACTGCATACAAACACACACAATTTCCACTGACCTAAAGCCAGACACCTGCCATGACTGGGCAGGCTCTCCCCCAGTATTAACAGAGGAAAAGGAGGGAGGCAGCAACTTTCAGGTAGCACTGATTCTTGGACATAATCTGTCCTGGGTCGAACCCCACTGGCAGCAGGAATTCTGAATGTATTGGGGACCCCTCCTTGTTAAGCCTCAAACACAGTACAGCTCATCCAGCATTGCTAAAGACCGAAGATTCAGAACAAAACCTACACACAGCACTGAGGTCTTAATCATAGCAAAACGTGATAAACCGTGTTGTGAAAAGCTTTTATACATTGAAGCCATGACCATTTTGTGTCTATCTTACTCTAGCACAAAAATTTGGGGTTGTTAAAGGATAGTTGTATTATGTGGAAACTATAAGGTTCTGTCTGTCATGTTACTCTCTATGGAAATGAGAGGGGTCTCCCATTTACACTAAGCAAAGTTCCTTTGGTCAATCTTAAATGATGTCTTGAAGCACAATTTAGCTGAGCGCTGAGTGGCCATATGCTTTCTCAGTACAAGTGTGTCTGCCCTCTTCAACATGTAGGGTTGATCAAGCTAATATTTAATTGCAAATATCCCTTGTATGAAGTTAACTAAAAAAATTTTGCTATGTCTGATCTAAACGTTTGCATTCTGTTCAACTAAATTAATATTTGTAGATTGCAAGTTTTCTTTAAAATAGCTTTATTGAGTTTTTAAGTCCTGATCTGTTCTAAGGTGCCTTTCTCACCTCCCACTGATTTATCGATTCTCAAACTTCTTAATTTGCAAGAAAAATAAGTCTAATAGAGAGGAGGAAATCAGGCACTAAGTGACCAATTCTCATGCCCATTTGCAAAGCAAAACTACAAGGAATGATGAAACCTGGGCAACTAAATTAATGGATCATTTCACTAAATCAGATTGAGGAAATAGAAATATTAACTTGTCTCCCTTGAAGCTGATATTTTTCGCCTTAAATGACATGGTTGTGTTTTTGTAAGAGAAACTTAATCTAATATAATTATGTGCATTTAAGTGAGCAGTTCTAAAAGTCATGTATGACAATGCAATTGTCTGTTTCCTGAAAACAAATCAGGAACGCCATATCCATTTCAAGCTACCATTAAAGTGTAATTTATTTTGCTCTCCTTTACTGGGATTATTTGTTTTAAAGTAAACATTAAAAAGATGTCTATAAACAGCTAGTGTGACTATTTTTATCTGGAACTAACTAGTTGGTTCTGAACTGACTGGACCAAGTCAACCAAACTGACTGTATGCGGATCTTGGACTGAAATATAAAAATTATGTTTTTGCAGTGTTACTGAAGAAGTCTTTAGTATTTTGGGAAGAGGGGAGATTTGCATATACTCCTGGGGTTTTCATGAGAAATATTAATTTGAAATTGATTATAACTCAGATAACCACACATGTGAGTTTTGTGTTAACAATAAAGGGATTTTCTAAACAACATTAAGAAATGAGGACCAGGTGGGCGCCCAAATGCTGCATCCTCTGGCTAGTGAGAACTACCATTTTAAGCACCTACCCAGCTCTGCCTTACAAGGGAAGAGCTTCTGATCCAAAAGGACCTTTTTTTCTTCTTCACTAAAAAAAAAAAAAAATCCCATTATTTTTCTATTTCACTAGCAATTTTGCACTAAGTGCCAAGGGTTAATCCAAGTGGAATTATTTTCAAGGAGATACAGAATGTTAAAACTCTGGAATACAAAGCAACAAAGCCCCAACAGAGGTGGAAGAATTAGGGAGTGTTATCCTAGAGGGAGGAAGGGGCTTCCCACTATGGACCTAAAGAGAGCAAATAGGTATGTGCGTATTCTATCAACTTCTAGATGAGTGAAAAGAAAATTGTGTATGGAATATGCTTGCTTGATCAACTTAAAAATGTAAACCGCTTCCAAAGATTTTTGGAAATACTTTAGCAGAACTTCCCACTCCCACCACTTAAAGCAAAATATACTTACAGCAGTCCTTCTATCCTAACCATTCATGAAAATGGGCTGCCAGATCTTGAAGTGGCAACTTTTATCAGTCTAGATTCAACTACTTCGAGAATCTGGTACAAAAATTGTTCCTTTAAAAAAAAACTTAAATTTTTTCTCAGACAGCTCTGAGATTTGAAAACAAAATAGAAATCTAAAAACGTTTTTAAAATAAAAATAGGCCAGGCACAGTGGCTCACGCCTGTAATCCCAGCACTTTGGGAGGTCAAGGTGGGTGGATCACCTGAGGTCAGGAGTTCGAGACCAGCCTGACCAATATGGTAAAATATCATCTCTATTAAAAATACAAAAATTAGGCCAGGCCTGGTGGCTCACACCTGTAATCCCATCACTTTGTAAGGCCAGGGGTTGGGGTAGATCATCTGAGGTCAGGAGTTCCAGACCAGCCTGACCAATATGTTGAAACCCCGTCTCTACTAAAAATGCAAAAATCAGCCGAGCGTGGTGGTGCATGCCTATAATCCCAGCTGCTTGAGAGGCTGAGACAGGAGAATTGCTTGAACCTGGAAGGCAGAGGTTGCAGTGAGGCAAGATTAAAGAGATTGCACCACGGCACTCAAGCCTGGGCGTCAGGGCGAGACTCCGTCTCAAAAAACAAATGCGTACATACATAAAATAAATAAAAATAAAACAAATTTTCATTAACTGAGACAAGACTTCTCCCTCTAGCCTACCTAATTCCAAATTACTGAAGTTTTTACATTTCAAAGCAGAAATGTAGCAGACACATTATGTGCAAACTATGGATTTAGGCACTGCCCTGGAAACCACAGCACCACAAACTGGTGAATGGCAAAGCTTTCCTGTTCAAACAAATAGGAAGGTCAAAGGTACACTGATATAAAACTCATTGTCTAGTCACATCATTTACTTCATTTGTCATGATGTTGGCAACTATTTTAAGTCCAGTATGTTCTAGGATAGATTTCGGAGTTCCAGGACTTCTGTGCACTGTCACAACACCTGCACCTACTTTTAGAACTTTCGTCTGTATGCTTTTTTCCTTTTTTTTTTTTTTAATTTGTTTCATTTGTTTTTGAAGACAGAGTCTCTCTCTGTTGCCCAGGCTAGAGTGCAGTGGTGTGATCTCAGTTCACTGCAACCTCCACCACCCAGGTTTAAGCAATTCCTGTGCCTAAGTAGCTGGGATTACAGGTGTCCACCATCATGCCTGGCTAATTTTTTGTGTTTTAGTAGAGACGGGGTTTCAACATGTTGCCCAGGCTGTTCTCAAACTCCTGAGCTCAAATGACCCACCCGCCTCAACCTCCCAAAGCGCTAAGATTACAGGCATGAGTCACCGTGCCCAGCTGCTTTTTTAAAAATCTTTGGTGGCACTCATCTCTTTCCATTACTTGCTTTTTCTTCCTTCTCTGTTTCTTTGCCTGCATTGCTGTGACTCACTTCACCAATCCCTCCCGAATTCCTGTGCCCCCAAGTACCCAGGTACTTACACCCTCCCCTTGCTGCAACTCAGGGTGCCACTCACCCTCACAGAAGCCATGAGGACATCACGCCATGCACACCCCCAACACGTAGATGCTTTTCAGAATCGCTGGCACTGACGCTCCTCACCTGAGGACGCTCCTCAGCCTTCTGGGCAATGCAGCAATGCCTAGCCCTACCAGAAATCCCTCTGCTTGCTTGGTGGGAGAGGAGACAAACACCACTCCAGGATGGGAACTCCTTGCTTTTTTTTCTTTTTTGAGACAGAGTCTTGCTCTGTCAGCCAGGCTGCAGTGCCATGGCGAGATCTCGTCTCCCTGCAACCTCCACCTCTCAGGTTCAAGCAATTCTCCTCCCTCAGCTTCCGGAGTAGCTGGGATTACAGGAATGGACCACCACGCTCGGCTAATTTTTGCATTTTTAATAGAGACGAGGTTTCACTATCTTAGTTATTGTCTCTATCTCTCTTGATTTTTCAAAAGGTCAAACATCTTAGTTTTGGCTTGGTGATGTGCAAGTTTAAGTGATTACATTGTGGTTTAGTCTGTTGGGCCTGGCAGTAGTAGTTCAGTCCAAATCAATGGCCTCCTATAAATTTCCTTTAACACCACCACCAACTAGTCAATCAATTCTGTAGTGGACACAGCTGTGTGTCTTCTAATTAAATTTAATTCTGGCATGGGCTTGGTGACTAACACCTGTAATCCCAGCACTTTGAAAGGTGGAGGTGGGCAGATCCCTTGAGCTCAGGCATTCAAGATCAGCCTGGACAACATGGTGAAACCCCGTCTCTACTAAAAATACAAAAATTAGCCAGAAGTGGTGAGGGGTGCCTATAGCCCCAGCTTCTCAGGAAGCTGAGGCAAGAGAATCGCCTGAGCCCAGGAGGTGGAGGTTGCAGTGAGCAGAGATCATGCCACTGAACTACAGCCTGGGCTACAGAGCCAGGCCCTACCTCAAAAAAAAAAAAAAAAAAAAAAAATCAATTCTGAATTATCTACCTGGTGGTAGCATTAGATCCCACAAGTTGATGGCTCAGTCCCACAAAACTGCCCGCCACTTGAGATGCCAATCACAAGTCCCAGGTTGTTTACCTGGCCTTCTGACCAACTAGGTGTAAATCAGGATTCCCACAACCCACTCCTAGGATTGGACTCATTTGCTACAGCAGTTGGCAGAACTCAGGGAAACACATTTACTCGTTTATTATAAAGAATATTTCAAGGCCGGACATGGTGGCTCACACCTGTGATCCTAGCACTTTGGGAGGCTGAGGTGGGCGGATCATGAGGTCAGGAGATCGAGACGAATAACATGGTGAAAACTGTCTCTACCAAAAATACAAAAATTATCCAGGCATGGTGGCACCCGCCTGTAGTCCCAGCCACTCTAGAGGCTGAAGCAGGAGAATCACTTGAACTCGGGAGGTCAAGGTTGCAGTGAGCCAAGATCACATCATTGTACTCCAGCCTGGGCAACAGAACAAGACTCCATCTAAAAAAATAAATAAATAAAAAGAATATTTCAAAGGTTATGGATGAAGACATGCATAGGGCAAGGTTATGAGGGAAGGAGTACAAAGCTTCTATGCCCTCCTCAGGCATGCCACCCTCCAGGAACCTCCAGGGGTTAAGGTATCCAGGATCTCCACAAACCCAGTCCTTTTATGGTTTTATGAAAGCTTCATTACATGGACACGATTAATTTAATCATTGGCCGTTGGTGATTAGCTCAACTCTCAGCCCCTCTCCCCTTCCCAGAGTTGGAGGTGGGGCTGAAAAGTTCCAACCCTCTAATCACATCTTGACCTTCCCTATGACCATTCCCCATCCTGAAGCTAACTAGGGGCTCCCAGCCACAAGTCATCTCATTAGCATACTAAAGACACTCACCCATTTGCATATTCCAAAGGCTTTAGGAGCTGTACGTCAGGAAACAGGACTAAGACCAAATACTGCACATATTTCACACTGCCACAGTCCTTCCTTTCTGGCTTGGTCATCTTTATAGAATTCTCCAAGCTCCGATTGTTTCACATTTCTTTTTTTCTTTTTTGAGACAGAGTCTTGCTCTGTCGCCCAGGCTGGAGTGAAGTGGTGAGATCTTGGTTCACTGCACCTTCCGCCGCCCAGGTTCAGGCAATTCTCCTGCCTAACCCTCCTGAGTAGCTAGGATTACAGGTGTGGGCCACCACACCCAGTTAGTTTTTGTATTTTTAGTAGAGACGGGGTTTCCTCATGTTGGTCAGGCTGGTCTTGAACTCCTGACTTCATGATCCACCACCCCCCACCCTTAAGCTTCCCAAAGTGCTAGGATTACAGGCGTGAGCCACTATGCCCAGCCTGTTTGGCATTTCTTAACTGTAGGTGTTCCCATGGATTCCATCATAAGCCTCTTTGCTTTTATCCCTCAGGCTCCATTCTCCCCAGGTGGTCTCACCTATGATATCAACTACTAACGAAGAATGATCCCACCCAATCACATATCTCCAGCCCAGATGTCCCTCCAGAGCATTACTTCTAGATGTCTTCCCTAGGGCCCAAAGTCACCACAAATGCCCCAGAATAAAACGGCTTAAAGGCAAGGATATCTCACTCACGCTATACCTCTAGCTTCTCACAAAATACTATATAGTAGGGACTCAATATGTTAATGAACAAAAGTGTTTTGCTCACCCCAGAACTTCTATTCAGCTTTCAACAACCTCCAACCCCTAATTTCAGAGGCTTTGAAGT